CTTGTGTGAGTCAGACCTCTCATCATGTGGATCCTGAGGATAAGACTCATGGCATCATCCCTGTTAGTAAGGATTGGAACTCAGTGAGCCATCTTGCCAATCCAATTCTTAATCTTGGAATGTCTCTGCTTTTCTCAGAAGCAACAGCTAATTGGATCTTGCTTTTTAAAAAATATGGTTTGGTTCCCAGCACCTACATGGCAGCTAACAACCATCTGTAACTCCAGTTCCAGGTGATCCAATGCCCTCTTTTGGCCTCCATGGGCATTGCATGCCCATTGGTAGACTTACACGTATGTAGGCAAAATAGTCATACACATAACAAAAAGAAAGAAAGAAAGAAAGAAAGAAAGAAAGAGAAAGAGGGAGGGAGGGAAAAGAAGGAAAGAAAGAAAGAGATAGAGAAAGGAAAGAAAAGAAAGAAAGAAAGAAAGAAAGAGAGGGCTAAGAAAGAAAGAAAGAAAGAAAAGAAAGAAAGGAAGGAAGAAAGAAAAAGAAAAAGTCATAACACTTCTTTGGTCAGATAAAACATCATAAATAATATTAAGAGATAAACAGTGACTTGAGAAAAACCTATCTGCTACACATTATAAAAAGCTAAGATATTCTAAAGAAGTCATATCTAATGTACACTATTTGCCAGGTACTGCCTGTATCTATACAAATTAACCCTTTATGGGGGCTGGAGAGATGGCTCAGTGGTTAAGAGCACTGGCTGCTCTTGCAGAAGACCCAGGTTTGATTCCCAGCACCCACATTGTGGTTAACAACCATCTGTAACTCCAGTTGCAAGGGATCTGATTCCCTCTTCTGACCTCCGCTGGCATTGCATGATACAGGTGCACCTACCTACATGCAAGCAATATACCCATACACATTAAATAAAAATTTTTAAAAACCAAATTAACCCTTTAATCATCACAGCAACTCTATGAAGTAAGTACTACCACTGTCCTCATTTTACAGAGGGAAAAAATGAGCTACAAAGTGTGACTTGGGGGTCAGCAAAATGGCTCCATGGGTGAAGACACTTGCAACCAAACCTGAAAACCTGAGTTCAAGCCCCAGGACCCACATGGTAGGAGGAGAGAAGCAACTCCTGCAAATTGTCCTCTGACTTCCACATATGTACCATGGCACATGTACACATGCACATACAGAGAGATAAATATATCTTGGGCAGGGACATGTACCTACAAAAAGAATAAGAGCAAGATTCAGACTCTAGCCACAAATTTGGAAGACCTATGGAAGATGTTTCCTGCTTCTGTTATGCATTGTGGTCCACAGTCAGTAGTATGGACTTAGACCTAATGATGCTGCACAGCCCAAGAGGCATTTGAAACACAGAACAGCTGTGGTGATTCTACATTCTGGAAGTTCCCACCTGGAAGGACGGGAACAGCCTGGAGACGGACAGGGCTAGACCCGGGGAGTCCAGCAAGAAGACACCTTCTAAATTACTCAGGATTGTAATGCCAGCAGTTGGGAGAGTAAGGCAGGAGGATTGCCATGAATTGGAAGCCAATAGAGTACATACCATGTGTGAGCCCTAGACTCAGAGTTGAGACCCTCTCAAAACAAACCAACATTAGCCATGATCAGAAGAGGAGAAATGGATTTGAGTCCTGATTTTGGAAGCTCAGTCACTTACTAGACTCAATGATTTAGGGGAAGAGAAGGGTGAGGCTGTCGCCTAGGTTACTAGATCGATGAAAATCAAATCAAATCCCAAAGTCATCACTAATATAATGTTACTCATTTATACTTACAGTAATATATGTAATTAATGCTCCTGACAATGGCTACTTATTGGTACAAAGCAAAAGATCATGAATGTCTTCTTTAAATAGTTTAAATGACAAAAAATAAAAAGCAGGGGCTGGAGAGATGGCTCAGCGGTTAAGAACACTGGTTGTTCTTGCAGAAAACCCGGGTTCAGATCCCAGCACCCACATGGCAGCTAACAACTGTCTGCAACTCCAGTTCCAGGGGATCCAATGGCCTCTTCTGTCCTCCACGGGCATTGCACAATATGAGTGCCCTTACCTACATGCAGGCAATACACTCATACACATAAAAAATAATAAAATATTTTTAAAAATTAAAAAACAAAAGTCTGGAGCATTTATGACATTTCTCTGCAGCCAGATGGGCAGGAGACCTGGCCGAAGTGGCTTTCCTGCCCCTCCCAGACTCCTCCACACACTTCCACACTCACCCACTCCTCCCAGCAAGCTATCTTCTCTGCCATTTCCACAGCCTCCTTGCGTTCACGTTCTGCCTCCTCGGCAGCCTCCTTGGCCAGGCGTTCCTCCACAGCCCTCTTCTCCTCTTCTTCCTTTTCCTCTTCCGTTAAACCATAATTTCGAGGCTCCCCAATCTCTTTAATGAGCTGTTTGATAGCAAGTCTGTTCTGAGCGTCTTCAAGTTTTCCTACATCTTTACACACCAGAGGAGAGACATGAACACAAACATTCTAGGCATGGTGGCAGTTAGAAAATGCTCTGTGGCTGGGCATGGTGGCGCAGGCCTTTAGTCCCAGCACTTGGGAGGCAGAGTTCAAGGCCAGCCTGGTCTACATGGTGAGTTCCTGGCCAACTGGGGCTACAGGGAGACCCTGTCTCAAAAAGACCAAAAAAAAAAAAAAAAAAAAAGGAAACACTTCCCTATGTAAGCTAGGCTGACCTCAAACTTACAGCCCTTCTCCAGCTTCTGCCTTCTGAGTGCTTGGATTACAGGTGCATATCAACCACACACTCTGAGTTCTAGTAATCAGCATTGATCTGCGTGGGGATGGACTGTGCTGTAGCCTGGTATTTTGTTTTGTTTTTGAGTGTGTATGTGTGTGATGATGTGTGTGCATGTACATATGCATGTTCACATGAGCATGGATACACGTGGGGGGGGGTGTAGTTGTCTATATATGCATGTCTGTGGATACTCAAGGTGGACCTTGGGGGTCTTTCTTGACTTCCCTTTACTGTATTCATGAAAGCAAGTTCTTTCAGTTGAACACAGAGTATGATGATAAGGGTTAATCGAGCTTAATCCCAGCTCACTTGGGGAGCCACCTTCCAAGGTTGGAATTAAAAGCAGGCTGTTGTGTCCATCTGCTGTCCTCATGGGTTCTGCGGATCTGGACTGTGGTCCCCACACTTGCATGGCGAGGGTTTTATTTACTGTGCGATCTCTCCAGTCTTGCTTTTTTTTGGTCTTTTTGAGACAGGGTCTCCCTGTAGCTCCAGCTGTCCTGGAACTCACTATGTAGACCAGGCTGGCCTTGAACTCACAGAGATCTGCCTGCCTCTGCCTCCCAAGTGGATTAAAGGCAAGCGCCACCAGGCCTGGCCTGTTGTTTTTTAAAGAATTTTTATTTTATGTGTATGAGTGTTATGCCTGCATGTGTGTAAGTGCACCTGTGTCATGCAGTACACGAGGAGGACAGAAGGAGGTGTGGGATCCCTTGGAACTAGAGTTATGAATGGTTGTTAGCCACTGTGCAGGTACTGGGATTCAAACCTGGGTCTTCTGCAAGGGCAGCCACTGCTCTTGACCTCGGAGTCATCTCTCCAGCCCCAGTTCTGTTTTGTTTTGTGACTTGATCTCATGTAGCCCACATTGACCTTAAACTTGTTATCTACCTGAGAATGACCTTGACTTCCTGATTGACCTGCCTCTGCCTCCCCAGTGCACCACTTGGGAGGCAGAGGCAGGCAGATCTCTGGGAGTTATAGTCTGGACCTTGAAAGTTCCCCCAGGCCTGCCTATCACAAGCTTGACTCAGGGGGCATAGTGGAGGGTGACAGAGCCTTTGGAAGGAGGGGCCTAGCTGGAGGGAAGGAGTGTTCTGGGAGAAAACTGTGACACTTTGCTATCTTACTATTCCTGATTTTTGCTTCCTGATCATTGAATGAATGGCTTTGCTCTGCCGCATACCCACACCAACATGTGCTGCCTCACCACAGGCCCGAAACATCTCACACTCATGAAGGGGAACTCTAGGACTGTGACCTCAAGTAAACCTCTATCTTTATCTCATTTCAGTTACTTGGTACTCTTCTGCAGTGTTAGAGGCAGAAGAGCCTAGGGCCTTTCACAAGCTAGGCAAGCATTCCAGAACTATTTGGAGTGGGGGTGGGGGGGTGTAGAGGTAGATTTAGAAACAGTTGCTAAACAAAGAAAGCATGATCAAGAATGGGAATGGATTCGTGAGCTGAGGGGACAGCTCAGAAAAAGCCTAAAACCTTTTTATAAGTTAATTCTCTCAGCTAATTCATTGTCAGGAAACTGACTACAGCAATCACTCCAAAAGCAGTGAGCCTTTTACCTAGGGAAGTATGCACACAAAGGCTGGGGGGCTTTGATCAGACTTCACAGAAGGAAGTCCCGTCTATACTGGAGCCAGGAAGGACTTCCACAAGAGCCTTCTGAAAGTCAGTGATTGTAGGATCTCTCTCTCTCCCTCTGTCCTCTCTCTCTCTCTCTCTCTCTGTCCCTCTCCTTCCCCTCTCTGTCTCAAGTTTTTAAAAATATTTATTATTTTTGTGTTTATAGTGTTTTGCCTGCATGTATGTAAGTGCACCCTGTGTGTGCCTGGTGCCTGCAGAGGCAAGACAGGGCATCGGATCCCCTGGAACTGGAGTTAAAGAGAGTTTTTAGCTGACATGTGGTTGCTGGGAATCAAACCCCAGTCCTCTGCAAGACCAGCCACTACTCTTAACCACTGAGCCATCTCTGCAGCCCCATAAAGGATTTTTACTTTCATTTTTTTGTTTCTTTTGAGATAGCATCTCCCATAGCCCAGGCAGGCCTAGAACTCACAATGTGGCTGAGGCTGGCTTTGAACTCTTGATCCTCCTGCCTCCGCCTCCTTGGTGCTGGGACTACAGGTGTGAGACACCATGCTTCGCTTTCTCTAGTTTTGGGGGACAGGCTCTCATTCTACAGTCCAGGCTGGCCTAGAACTTACTATGAATCTCCTGAATTCAAGGCAGTCTTGCTGTCCCTGCCTGCCTGGTGTTGGGATCAAGGTACAGCCCCCACACCTAGTTCCCATTTTCAATTCTTAATTGATTGATCTTTTTTTGGCTTATTGGAATATGAAAATGTTCAAACTCCAGAGTGTTTGACTGATATTAATGCAGTCATACTCTTCCCTGGTTCTTGGAAGGCAGTACGGTAGTGCAGAGGTGGCGGCAGTGGGCACATTTTATTACTGGTTTCTTCTGATCTCCCAGATCTTGGTTGTTGTTTTTTTTAAGACATTGAATATGTAGCCCTGGCTGACCTGGAATTTGTCATCCAAATGCTGGGACTGTGGGTGTGTATCACCCACTCTGCTTCTTTATATAGCCTTAAAAATTATATTTAAATTTCTTTTATTATTTATCTAGAGAGGGGGCACATATGTGCCATGGCCTGCAAGTAGAGGTCAGATGGCAAGCCATGGGAGACGCTCTTTCCCATGTGGGCCCAAGGGAGCAAACTCAGGTTGTCAGGCTTGGTGGCAAGTGCCCTTAGCCATCTTTCTAGCCCATTTCTATATTTACTGATTTTATTATATATTTTCATTTTTGTATTATTTTTTGAGAACCTCATATATGCACACAATGTATTTCAATCATATTCACCCCATCTCCCCTTCTAACTCCTCCCAGATCCTACAACATCCCTTTCCAAACTTCATGTCCTCTGTTTAACATATTTTTTATTCTATTTATTTATTTATTTATTTATTTATTTATTTATTTATTTATTGTCTTTTTGAGGCAGGGTCTCCCTGTAGCCCCAGCTGGCCTGGAACTTGCCATGTAGACCAGGCTGGCCTTGAACTCACAGAGATCTGCCTGCCTCTGCCTCCCAAGTGCTGAAAATTTATTTCATGTGTATGAATGTTCTGCCTACATGTATGTAAGTGCTCCTGTGTGTGCAGTGCCCATGAAGGCCAGAAGAGGGCATCAGATCCCCTGGAACTGGAGTTACAGACCACTGGTAGGTGCCATGTGGGTGGTGGGAGCCGAACCCAGGTCCTCTGCTATAGCAGCCACTGCTCTTAACCACTGAGCATCTCTCCAGCCCATCTTCTTTTTTTAAAAGATTTCTTTTTTTGCCAGCCTTCTTTTTTTTTTTTAATGCTTCTACATTTCTTAGTAGTTATTCCTATAGCTTTCTGGCCTTTTTCTGGGTAAGTGCTTGCCCGCTGCCTCCTCTGTACCTAACTTACTCCTTTGTGCAGTTTTGATCTAGAGATACCAGCAGAGTCTAATGTGGGCCAGGGGCAGCATGGCCAGTGCATTGGTTAGTGAACAGAAGTAAGACATTAAAGCTCAGTGGGATATAGCTCAGTGGTAAAGTGTTTGCCTAGCAGGCATGAGGCCCTGAGTTTGATTCTTGGTTTTTTGTTTTGTTTTGTTTTTGTTTTTGTTTCTTTTTTAAGTCATCAAAATACCAAAGAGCAAAAATGTCTTATCTGCCACCTGCTCACTGCCTGACCTTGGTCATTTAATTGTAGTTCTCCCTGAATCTTGGTAGTAATGACAGCCTTGCTGTCACTAGTGCCCTAAAACCTTCTGGAAGCTCTATTTTTGGAGACCAGGCTCACGGGGAACAATTGCAGTAGAACAACTGCTGACTGGAACTGTGTGAATACACCTTGACTGGCAGAGTTGCCCTTTCTAGGAAGGTAAGATGAGGACAGCTCTGAACCTGGCTGCCAGTGGCACTTGGAAACTCCAGGACTGTAGGGTGGTCTCGGCTGACCAATGAAACCAGAGAGCAGGAAAAACATGCTGGTGTGAAGAGGTTGAAGGTCCGAGGAGAGAAGGGATCTGAGAGACACTGGGAAAGCAGAGAGCCCAGAGACACACAGGGAGGATAGTGGTCCCAGCATCTCTGTAAGGTCCACTCAGAACCCCTGAGGCCATGCATCCCTACCTAGGGACACCCTCACCAGGGCCATCTCTAGGGCAGCTCGCCTCTTTGCTTTTACTTATCTCCTGTTGTCAGTGTGGAGATGAAGCTGAATGTGATGGGTACTGCACAAGATGGGAACACAGAGGCCTCACTCCTCCAGTTCTCTCTGCGGTCCATGTCTCTCAACCCATCCTCATCTTTCTATCACTAATTTTTGGGGCTTTATGTATAAGATGACATTGACCACGTTTCTGAAATCTGCCACTCTCCCAAAGTTCTCTAATTAAATACTAGACATTTCTATGTTAGGAGGCGAAGAGTCCTTGGCTTTTATATGTATAATGTACTCACTTGCCAAAAACTTGCAAATAAGGGGCTGGAGAGATGGCTCAGGGCTTAAGAGCACTGGCTGCTCTTGCAAAGGACTCAGGTTCAGTTCCCAGCACTACAGGGCAGTTAACAACCATCTGTAACTCCAGTTCCAGGAGATTTTACGCCCTCTTCTGGCCTCCGTGGGCATTGCACACATGCGATGCACTTACATACATGCAGGCAAAACACTCATCCACACAAAAATTTTAAAAACATATGTAAATGAGAGCAAAACCCAGCTGCTACTCAGGGTGGAAAACAGGAAGAACTGGCTGATTTATGCATTATTTTCCTGATGATGAATAATTTTATGCTTTAGTGTTGGCAGTGATGACAAATTCCTTCAGTGTGCCAGGCACTTGGCATCTTGCACTGCCATGTAGAGAAACCCCTCAAGTCTGATTGCTCTCTCATTTCACATTTGAGAAAACTGAGGCAGAACCAGAACTGGAATTGGCTCTCCTGCCTCCAGCCTCTGTTCTCTCTCAGCTCTAAGCCTGTCAATATGCCAAGGTTCAAATGCTGGCCTGTAGGTGCCCCCTAGTCAGGAGGTGGCTCTTTTTCCCTGTGATGATGATCTTGATTGCCAACTTGATGGAGTTTAGAATCAACACGGAAACAAATCTCAGGGCATGCCTGCAAGGATCACCTAGATTAGATTGAGATGGGAAGACCCACAGTAAATATGGACAGCACCATTCCATGGACTGGGGTCCTGAACTGAATAAAAAAGGGAAAAAGAGCCAAGCAGCAGCGTTCATCTCTCTCTGCTTCCCGACTGCAGATGCATGCGGCTGCTTCAGGCTTCTGCCCAGCAGGTCTTCCTATATGAGGGACTTTAGCCTTAAACTGAGAGCCAAAATAAACCCTTCTTTTTTAAAGAAATATTTTTATTGAATTCTCATGCATTTCATACAATATTTCTTATCAAATTAAGATCCCCTCCCCCATCCATGCCCCATACACACCCACACCAGGCCTCATGTGTTCTGCCATACATGTTAAGTCCCATCTGCTCAAGCATTTTACCCAGATGTCCTTCAGTGCACTTTCTTTTTTAAAAAAAATTTATTAGTTTTATTTTATGTGTATGAGTACATATTGCTTGCATGTAAGTGTACTTGTGTCGTTGTGTGCAATGCCTGTGGAGGTCAGATCCCACTACAGATGGTTAGATAGTTGTTAGATACCATGTAGATGCTGGGAATTGAACCTGGGTCCTCTGTAATCCCTCCAACCCTTCCTTTTTTTTTTTTTTTTTTTTATTTTTTTGAGACAGGATCTCCCAGTAGCCCCAGCTGGCCTGGAACTCACTATGTAGACCAGGCTGGCCTCGAACTCACTGAGACCCACCTGCCTCTGCCTCCAGAGTGCTGGGATTAAAGGTGTGTGCCACCATGCCCTGCTAACCCTTCCTTTCTTAAATTGATTTTGTCTGGTATTTTGTTGTAGTAACAAGAACAGTGACTAACAGAGGAAATTGGTACAAAGAAGTGGGGTTGCTACTGCAGTAACCCTGACCATGTGGTTCAGAGGCCTTTGGGATGGGTTTGCAGATGCAATGTGGAAAAGTTTGGTACTTTGGGCTGAGACAGCCCTGGCCAAGCCTCACTGGTGTTTACCTTGCTGGGTTGGAGCTCGCTTTAGTCTGATTTTTCCTTGTGGTCCCCAATTCTTCCCTTTTAGGATGGGAATGCTCATTCTGTCCCACCTCATGTTGGGAAATAACTTTTTATTTTATTACATTTATTTAATTTCTTTGTTGTGTGCAGGGGCAGATATGGGCCACAGTGCATGTGTGGAGGTCAGAAGACAACTTGAGGGAGTTGGTTCTCTCTTTTTACCATGTGGGTCAGAGAGACTAAATGCAGGTCATCAGGCTTGGTGACGTGAACATTCCCACTAAGCCACCTTGCAAGTCTTGCTTTTTGTTTTTCGTTTGTTTGTTTTGTTTTGTTTTTGAGACAGTGTCTCCTGATAGTCCCAGCTGACCTGGAACTTGCTATGTAGACCAGGCTGGCCTCAATATCACAGAGATCTGCCTGCCTCTGCCTCCTGAGTGCTGGGATTAAAGACATGTGCCACCATGCCCACTTGAGTTTTTGTTTTTAATTTTATTTAATAGGAGCTCACAATTAAGAGATTGCTTCAAGTTTCAGGTGAGACTTAGACCTTGGACTTTTAAATAGTGTTGAAATTGTTAAAGACCTTGAAAACTTTTGAAGTTGGACTGAATGAATTCTTGCATTATTTATTTAATTTATTTTTTATTTTTTTGGTCTTTTTTGAGACAGGGTCTCCCTGTAGCCCCAATTAGCCTGGCACTCACCACTCACTATGTAGACCAGCCTGGCCTCAACCTCACAGAGATCCACTTGCCTCTGCCTCCAGAGTGCTGGAACTACCACACTCACCTTCTGGTGGCTACTCTTGATCATGAACATGATTCTGTGCAGAATCACCATGGAAACAAATCTCTGGGCGTGCCTATGAGGGATAATCTAGATTAGGTTGAGGTGGGAAGACCCACCCTAAATGAGAATGGTACCATTCCACAGGCTGGGCCCTGGACTGAAGAGACTGGAGGAAGCCAGCTGAGTCCCAGCCTTCATCCCTCCAGCTTCCTGACTACAGATGCAACGTGACCAGCTGCTCACACTCCTCCAGCCGTGCCTTCCCTGCTGTGATGGACTGCACCCTCAAACTCATTGCTTTTGTGAGATATTTTGTCACAGCAAGGAGAATAGTAACTAACACACCTCCAAACCCTGAAAAGGGAGAAATGTCAAGACCCAGAAAGTCAGGAGAGAACTCAGCAGTTTACCAAGCCCAAGCCAAATGGAGCTGAAACAGCTATGAAACCTGAAATCTGGAGCCAAGAATGAGGAAGAGAATGCTTCCTAAGTGCCTGCGTGTGCTAAGTTCAGTTACATGTTTACAGGAAATGAAGAGGCATCTGGTGAGGAGCTATTTCCTGTTTTGGGTAACTAAGGGGTGAGTTGATCAGACTAAAGTCCAGAGTGGGCCAGTGTCTGTGCTGAGGGCCAGTACCTGGCAACATAACAGGGAGAGAACTGTGCCCAAGGGAACCTGGCAGGATGGGCTGAGGAAGACAGCAGCAAACACATTCTCAGAAATAGACGAGTTTGGCATTCAACTCTGTAATCTACCCATACATTTTCATACAACACTTTCCCACCAATTTATACCCAAGTAAAATGGCTCTCCTGGAGGAGTGCCCGTCTATCCTGGGGCTTCCTAAGCCCCTCGGTCACGTGATCATACTTCCTGGACCTCCCTCTGCCCTACAGTCCCAGTCAGACATGCATCAGGTCTTGCTGGGGGTCTGGGAGTCACCTCATACCAATGTGTATTAGGTGGACTTCGATTTCATCAAAGTAGTTGAAGACGGTCTCATCGTCGGTATTGATGTCCCTGTAGTTGCTTAGGGACGGGAGGAACCGGTCCTGGCTGTAGTGGGTCCCTGCCACGACGCTCTCAGGGAGGTTCATCACCCGCTCTTTCAGAAACTCGTCAGAGGCATCCAGGCCACACACAAATTCTGGGGAGAAGGGAAGGCATAGGTATCAGCATAGTACAGCGGGGATGTACAGTCCACAGCTAACCAACATGCCCTGCTACTGGCTGGGACCTAACACTGCCTGTCAAATTGGCTTGTCACCTCTCATGGAGGGTAAATACACGTACATCACACAGTTCCAGAGATGCGAAACCCAATTGGTTCTTTGTATCTACCATCCTTCAATCCCTTGGTCCCTACTCCTTCCTTTCCTTCCTACACAAACAGCAGAAATTATAAATAGAAAATCTCCAAGCCTGGTGTGGTGGTGCATCCCAGCACTTGGGAGGCAGAGGCAGCGGATCTCTGTGAGTTCAAGGCCAGCCTGGTCTACATAGTGAGTTCCAGGACAGCTGGGGCTACAGGGAGACCCTGTCTCAAAAAGACCCCCCCAAAAAAGAAATCCCTAACTCCAGTTCCAGGGGATCCAATGCCCTCCTCTGGCCTCCATGGACACTGCATGACACAGGTGCACTTACATACATGCAGACAAAACACTCATGCACAAAAAAAAAGTAAATATTTTAAAAACTGAAAAGAAAAACAAAACAAAAAACTTTTCTTAGGCCTGGAGAGACGGTTCAGTGGTTAAGAGCACTGGCTGCTCGTCCAGAGGACCTGGGTTCAGTTCTCAGCCCCTACATGGCAGCTAACAACTGTCAGTAACTCCAGTTCCAGGGGATCAGACACCCCCTTCTGGTCTCTGTGGACATTGCACACACAAGTGTACTTATATATACGCAGATAAAACACTCATACACATAAAATAAAAATTAAAAAGTAAACCTTTTCTCTTTATGATTCAGAATGAACTTTGGGAATTTGCAATATCTGGAGCTAATTATTCACAATGCCATTGTGTCATTCTAGCTCTCTGGTCACTATGTCTGACTATCAGGATCGCATAGAAATCTAAGTGTTAGTGGCATTTTCCATTGTCATCAGGTAGGCATGGATGCAACTCTGTCTCCTTGAACTAGGAGATCTGAGAAGACTCACACTGCATCTAGGTGAATGTGGTAAATACAAGGACTCACTAGCATGAGAATACACCAAGAACAGAATCAGCAGAGGTGCAGATGTGTCATCATCAAAGTCGAGCAGGGGCATTTGTATGGATCAGTTTGTCCTGTGTCATAGGGTGTTTTAAAATCTTGGGGGACTTCAGAGCTATTTGCTATAGACAGTAAGCAAGTTACTTGGAAGTGTGCAGTTTACTAGTGAGCCATGACCTTCTTTATCCTACTCATATTCTAAGCCTGTATCTTCCCACTTTAGGTACCAGGCATAGAGACCATCTCCATCACCCCAACTAGCCAGTCCCAACCTTTCAGTGCATCCTGAGCAAAGGCTCTGGGCTAGGCTTTACCCTCATTCCACTTCTGCCTCCTGACCCCACCTGTGTTCAGCACTGGGTTGTCATGGTAAGGTGCCGACCCCACCAGTGCTCAACACCAGGTGTCATGGTAAGGTGGCCCCTCTTTCAAGGAATGCAAATCACACATTCTTCCTTCAGTGGCATGGACCCCCTGTATTCCCACCCAGTGACCTCTGTGAATTAAGATCCCACAGGTACAAATGAACCAAAGTTGCAATTTCTCTCAGGAAGGTAGAAAATAAAGGCAATTTCTGGAAAGAGGATAACTTACTAAGAACAGACTAAACCTTCCAAATATATTCCATCTTAGACATGTTTGGACTTTGTCCAAAAGAGAGGGCCATTCAGTGAACTATGACTAAGACTCCTTGCTTTACCTCTGCTGTCCCATTTCTGCATGCTGTGGATGGTGTTTTGGGAGGAGTGGAGTGAGGAGACCTGAGTTTGAATGGAAGACCTTCCATTCATCCACGAAGGGAACTTGGATGAATCTCTAGAGTTTCCCTCCTGGATCTGGCAGGTTGTGCTAATGCGTGCCAGGCAGGATAGGGAGGTTCAATGAGGTGCCTGAGGTGCTTGGCACATTTGAGCAGAATTTTATCCAGTAGCTTACGTGAAAGCGTACAGTTGACCACTGAGTTTGCAATGAATAAATTGCCTGGGAGCATTTCATTCTCTGAAACCAGGCAGTCCTAGTTATTTAGAATGAATTAACTTCACATTTCAACTTTTGGGAAGCATCTGTCTAAACGGAGGAGATCTCTGAGACAGCCGTCTTTGGAGCATTTCATGTTTCTGCCACTGGTTTCAGAGCCCACAGGCAATAAATATTTATTCCTGGGCTGCAGTGATGGCTCAGCAGTTAGGAGCACTTTCTCCTCTTTCGGAAGACCCAAATTCAATTCCCAGCAGTCCCATGAAGGCAGCTCAAAGTCAACTATAAGTCTAGCTTCAGGGGATCTAAATCCTCTGGCCTCCAATGGCACCTGCACTAACATGTACACACCCACACACAAAAATAAATGCATCATGAAAAATAAAGTAAATCTGAGTTTTACTTGTTTTTATTTTATGTGTATGAGTGTTTTGCCTGCATGTATGTAAGTGTACCGTGGGCATGCAGTGCCCACAGAAGCCAGAAGAATGTGTCAGAGCCTCTGGAACTGGAGTTGCAGATGGTTGTGAGCCGCCATATGAGTGCTGGGAACTGAAAACTCTATCTTAACCACTAAGCCAACTCTGCAGGCCCCAAATAAACTAAATATTAAAAAAATCTAACTATCCCTGAGGATAACAGCAATCTTGGGGTCTCAGTGCTTCCAGAAGCTTCTGTCAGCTGCTCCTGACCAAGATAAAGGATGACTTCAGCCATGAACCATGTCCCTAACCTGAAGCTGATCAGCAGGATCTTTTAGTTACAACCTCGACCTAAACTCCAAAAACAGCTGTTCTTATACTGATCAGAGGACCTCGAACTACTCCCTATAACTGCACCCTGTACAAACTGCCTTAAAAAACAGAACATTTTTGATGGGGATGGGGGGCTTGTATGTGTGGAGACCAGGGTTGTGTGGAGACCAGGGCTGATGTCAGGTTCTTCCTCAATTGCTCTCCATCTTCTGTTGTTTGTTTTGTTTTTGCTCTCCATCTTTAAAAAAAAAAAAAAAAAACACCCTGTGATCCGGACAGATGCTCAGTGGTTAAGAGCGCTGGCTGCTCTTGCAGAGGAATCTGAGAAAACCCAGCTTCAATTCTCAGCACCCACATGGTGGCTAACAACCATCCCTAACTCCAGATTAGGAGATCTGACACTCCCTTTTGACCTCTGTGGGCACTGCCTAACATGGGTACACTTACACATGTGCAGCATAACACTCATAAAAAATACTATTTTTTAAAAATAAAATAAATAAAAAAATCCAGCATGCTATTTGATGCACCTGAGATTCTTTTTTCTTTTTTGTTTTTTTTGAGACAGGGTATCCCTGTAGCCCCAACTGGCTATGTAGACCAGGCTGGCTTCGATATCACAGAGAGCCACCTGCCTTTGCCTTTGGAGTGCTGGGATTGAAGGTCTGTGCCACCATGCCCAGCTCTCATCTCTAATTTTCTAATTTCTCTAACTTTGAATTTCTAATTTCTGAGTTTCTGCTTGAGTGGATCTTTTCTAAAATATATTTAATTATTAAACTAAAAAATGGCATAAAAGAGATTGAATAACATTCCTTTACATGTCTTCTTGGAGAGGCTGGGGAGAGGGCTCGGGGGTAAAGTGCTTGCTGAACAAACATGGAGACCCGAGTTTTGTCCCCAGCACTCACATAAAAAGGTGGGTGTGGTGCTGCTGCTGTGCACTTGTAATCCCAGTGTGGGGAGGTGGAGACAAGAGGGTCCCCAGGCTCCCCTGGCCAGTCAGTCTATCTGAACTGGCAGGTCCTAGGTTTAGTGAAAGTCCTTGAGTCACAGAACAAGGTGTAGGGCTTCTGAAAAATGACACCTGAGTTGACTTCTGGCCTCACATGTGTGCACGTATTCAAATCCACATGCATACCCGCGCGCGCGTGTGCGCGCACACACACACACACACACACACACACACACACACACAATTAAATGAGGTCTTGGAGAATATCTTAAACTTACCAGGTGTAATTAACTTATCAAAGGGGAGCATTCGGCCTCTGATTTCTTCTTCTTCCTCGTCTTCCTCTAATAAAACAAAAGTATCTGCAGTTATACTTGTTACATAGCAAAAGTTTGAAAACTTTTTTTTTTTGAGATAAGGTCTCCCTGAACCACAGCTGGCCTAGAACTCCCTATGTAGACCAGGCTGGCCTCAATGTCACAGAGATCCACTTGCCTCTGCCTCTAGAGTGCTGGGACTAAACTGTGTACCACTATGCCCAGATCTCAAATACTTTTTTTTGGAGGGGGGCAATCTTTTTTGAGACAGTGTCTCCCTGTAGCCACAGATGACCTGGAACTCACTATGTAGACCAGTCTGGTCTTGAACTCACAGAGATCCACCTGCATCTACCTCCCAAGTGCTGGGAGTAAAGGCATGAGCCACCACGCCCAGCTTCAAATAGTATTTAAAATTTTTGATTTTTTGACACTTTTTAAAAATAATTATTATTTTTATTTTATGTGTATGAGTGTATTGCCAGCATGTATGTGAGTGCACCCGGGTCGTGCAATGCTGCAGAGGTCAGAAGAGGGCTTCAGATTCCCCTGGAACTGGAAATAAGGACGGTTTGTAGCTGCCATGTGGGTGCTGGGACTTGAACCCGGGTCCTCTGCAAGAGCAGTCAGTGCTCTTAACTGCTGAGCCATCTCTCCAGTCCCTTTTTTGAAATTTTTGTTAATTAGTTTGTGGTTTCTTTTCTCTCCTTTTCTTTTCTTTTCTTTCCTTTTCAGACAGGGTCTCTGGCTGACCTGGAACTATGTAAACCCGGCAGGTCTTGAACTCACAGACACCCACCTTCCTCTTCCTCTGCTTTCTAAGTGCTGGGATCAAATGTGTGTACCGTTATGTACAGCTTTTATTTATTTATTTATTATTTACTATTTACTTATTTTGACTTTTTGAGACACCATTTACTCTTTGTCTAGGCTGGCCTTGAACTCAGAGCAATAAGATTGAAAAATAAACAAAAACAAAGAAAGTAAAATAAAACACACAGAGAGAAAACAAGACATGAAACAGAGCGCTCACACTTACGGTTGAACAGGTCTTTTGCTTGGTCATATGTCTTTGGAAATCCATCCAAAATGTAACCTTGGTTCCTACAAGGCATAGATTTGAGCTTTTCTTTCACAAATCTAATGATATACTGATCTTCTAGCCGACCTGATTTAAAAATAGATGAGTAAATATGTATGTTGCAGTGAGCACACTCTACACAGGGGTTAGGTTCTAAATTCATTTTGAAAGCTGTGATATAGGCAAAGATGTTACCAAAGATCCTTTCTTAATTGAAAAAAAACATTCCCCTTTTATTTTGAACATGACATGTGAGTTTTAGGGCACATCAAAGAGCAGTGAGCTGGTCTACAAGGACAAGCAGATGCCAATGGTACCAATACCATCCGCATTGGGAACCTTCTGTGACCATGACGTGTGGGTGCCACTAAATAAAGAGAAAGGGGATGTGTGCTGTACTGGATAGCTTTAGTGTCAACTTGACACACCAGGGTTGAGGGAGCCTCAATTGGGGAATTCCCTTTATTGGACTGGCCTGTGGCCATGTCCATGGGGCACCTTCTTTATTGTTGAGTGATGTGGGAGGGCCCAGCCCACTGTGGGTGGTGCCACCCCTGGGCAGGTGGGCCTGTGTTGCATAAGAAAGCAGGCTGAGCCGGGTGTGGTAGTGCATGCCTTTAATCCCAGCACTCAGGAGGCAGAGGCAGGCAGATTTCTGTGAATTCAAGGCCAGCCTGGTCTAGATAGTGAGTTCCAGGACAGCTGGGACTACGGGGAGACCCTGTCTCAAAAAGACAAAAAAAATAAAAATTAAAATTAAAGGAGTGTCCCCATGAGAGACTCTGCTTGTCATAGTGTTCCTCCATGGCCTGTGCTCCAGCTCCTGCTTCCAGGTACCTGCCCTGAGTTCCTACCTTGGGCTCCCTGATGAACTGTGACCTGGGAGATGTAAGCTAAATAAACCCTTTCCTCCCCAAGTTGGTAGTGATCAGACTGTTTTGTTACAGCAATGAAGAAACAAACTAGGACATGCGCCAAGTCCTGTGTGTTTGAAGAATTGCCTCTGGTTTTATTTTTATTTATTATTACTTTTATTTATGTGTATTTCTGTGTATGCCATGTGTGTATATGCCACATGTGTGTGGGTGTGCACCTAAGGATGCCAGAAGCTGGCATCAGATCCCCTGGAGCAGGATTTCTGGCCAGTTGTGAGTCACCTGATATGCTAGGAACAGAACACTGATCCTGTGCAGGACCAGCAAGCATTCTTATTAACCGCCATGCCATCTCTCCAGCACACCTGCTTTTTATTTTTAGATTTTATTTATTTAGTATGTGTACCTGGTATATGGATACACACATGCTACGGGGCATGTGGAACTCAGGTGACAACCTGAGCAAGGTGGTTCTTTCCTGCTATGTTGGTTCAGGAGATTGAACTCAGATTGTTAGGCTTGGCAGCAAGCACCTTTACTCATTGAACCATCTAGCTGGCCCCTAAGTTCCATTTTGAGATTACACCTTAATATCCAGTAATAAATGCTTCTGTTGTGGGAATTACATGAGACAACATTCAAGTGTTTTGCTAGCCCATTATTCACTGAGAGTAGGCTGAGGGTATAACTAAGTATGTGTTCAGCATGAGGGAAGACCTGCTTTTTACCTCCCCGCACACACAAAAGGTAAGTGCTCAATAAATATTTTTGCTAGATTTGAACAGCAAACAATCTGGTTTTCCTCTCTCTCTCCCTCCCTCCTCTCTCTCCTCTCCTCTTCTCTCTCTCTCTCCCTCCTCTCTCTCTCTCTCTCTCTCTCTCTTTCAAAATGGGGTCTCCCTGTAGCCCCAGCTGGCCTGGAACTCACTATGTAGATATGTAGATAAGACTGTCCGTGATCTCTGTGAAATCTGCCTAGCTCATCCTCCCAAATGCTGGGATTAAAGGAGTGCACTACCATACCCTCCTCCCTCCCTTCCCTTTTCTGCTTAAACCTTCATGTTCACTTTAAAAAATATATTATTTGAGAGTTTCCTATATGAATGTAATGTGATTCGATCAAATCCACTCCCCAGTCCCTCCTCTCCAATTCATCCTCTCTTCCCCCAACTCTCCCCTAACCTCATATGCTCTCTCTTTTTTTCCTTAAACTCACTGAGTCCACTTAGTACCGCCTGTAAGTGCACAGGTGTAGGACCATCCACTGGACCAACCTATCTTTTTTAAAGCTGCAGAAAAGGGCTGGGCTTGGGTTTCAGCCTCAACACCTGCGCCCCCATGAGAAAAAAAGACCCTGCACTTATCCCCAGAACGAGTCACAAAATAAAATTAGCATCAAGAAAAAAAAAAAAAAAGCTGAAGAAAAGAACGTGCCCCACACAGCACCCACACCTCCACCCCAGGTCCCATTTATGACCTTTGCCGTGCTCACTGGGAAGTTCCTTCTCCAGCCCCAGCTCCCAGATTCCTGGAACTGCTGAGAGCCTGGGAGGGAGGAGCCTGTTCTACCCTGGCAAGGTGGTTAGATGACTGCATGATGCAATCACTCTGGCCCCACTGACCTGCTATCACATTCACACTCAGCCTGTCGTCACACTGGCTGCTGTAGACACAACAGCAGTGTTAAGTTTGGCAGGGCTGAGAGAGACTGCTGTCCAAAGATCCCTCTAGAGCGCACACTGCACACTGAGCTTATCAGAGTCGGTGATGTAAAATACAGTTTGGGGTTACTTGTTATCTTTCTACTAATGACAATAAAATGACCTAATAGCTCTCAAGTAGGGTATGGTGTCACAGGCCTAGGGGAGGGGTGATGCTGAGGCAGGAGGATCATGAATTCAAATCTGGTCTGGGCTACATAGTGAGTTCCAGGTCAGTATGGGAAACATACATCGAAAAACCCTGTCTCAAAAGATCAAATCAGGAACATAGCTCATTTGGTAGAGTGCTTTCCTAGCATATGCTAGGCCCCGAGTTTGATCCCCAGCACCACACAAATCAGGCGGAGCGGCATATAACTGTAATCCCAGCACTCAGGGGGTAAGGGGCAAGAGGACCATGAGTTGAAGGGCATCCTCAGCTATGGAGCCAGTTTGAGGGCATCCTCAGCTATATGAGACCCAGTCTCAAAAGATACCAACCAACCAACCGAACAAACAATACATATAAGGGGCTGGAGAGATGGCTCAGCGGTTAAGAGCACTGGCTGCTCTTGCAAAGGACCTGAGTTCGATTCCCAGCACCCACATGGCAGCTAACAACCATCCATAACTCCAGTTCCAGGGGAATTTGACTCCCTCTTCTGACCTCCACAGGCATTGCATGACACAGGTGCACTTACACACATACAGGCATTATAATCATACACGTGGAATAAAAATAATAAATAGGGCTGGAGAGATGGCTCAGCAGTTAAGAGCACTGACTGCTCTTGCAGAGGACCAGGGTTCAATTCCCAGCACCCACATGGCAGTTAACAACTGTCTGTAACTCCAGTTTCAGGGAATCCAATGCCCTCTTCTGACCACGAGTGCACCTACCTACATGCAGGCAATATGCTCATACACATTTAAAAAAAGAAAAATATCAAAGGATTCATGAATATTTAAAGACTGGTTTTATTTAAGCAGTTGGTTTTCATTTTCCAAAGGCTCTATTTATTTACTTACTTGTTAGCTTAGTTTATTTTTGTGTTTATGCATTGAATACATGCATGTGTGTGTGCCTCTATGCATGTATATGTGAACTTATGTGTACCAGTGAGCACACCTGTGCAAGCACACAGAGTCCAGAGGGAGAAATTGGTGTCCAGCTCTATCAGGCTCTGTCTTACTCCCTTGAGACAGGTTCTCTCACTGAACCTGAACCTAGGCTGGTGGCCAGCAAGCCCCAGCCATCCTTCTGGCCCCACCCAACCCCCACATACCCCCGGCACTGGGGTTACAGAAATCTAGTTGAAGTCTACTCATGTAAGAAACATTAACTATTAAATATCACTTTTTTTTTTTTGGTCTTTTTGAGACAAGGTTTCTCTATAACCCTAAGTGGCTTGGAAGTCACTATGTAGACCAGGGTAGCCTCCACAGAGATAGGTCTGCCTCTGCCTCCTGAGTGCCAGGCAAAATGTTAGTCTTTTCTGTCAAACACTGTAGTAACACTTTGGTTTAGGACAAATAATTCAAATCTTTTAATGCCCCCACCACTGGGTAAAAGTTGTATAAAACCCATTACATTCTGAGGGCCTGGTGGGCTCAGTGACTGGCCTCTCTTGTCCCTCTACCCTTTACCTCTTCCCCTTCATTTTCATTTTCTTTGTGCCAATTCTTTAAAATTTGTTTTTATTTATTCATTTTTGGTCTTTTTGAGACAGGGTCTCCCTGTAGCCCCAGCTGGCCTGGAACTCGCTATGTAGACCAGGCTAGCCTCGAACACACAGAGATCTGCCTGCCTCTGACTCCCGAGTGCTGGGATTAAAGGTGTGCACCTTATTGTTTTTATTTTATGTGTATGGGATTCAAACCTGGGTCTTCTGCAAGAACAGCTAGTGTTCTTAATTGCAGAGCCATCTCTCCAAGCCCAATTTTTAAAGAATTTTTAAATTTTATTTTTATTTCATGTGTATGAGTGTTTTGGGTGCATGTGTGTAAGTGTACCCATGTTGTGCAAATGCCCATGGAAGACAGAAGAGGGCATCAGATCTCCTGGAACTGGAATTACAGACAGTTGTTAGCTGCCATGTGGGTGCTGGGAATCAAACTTGGGTCCTCTGCAAGAGCAGCCAGTGCTCTTAACTGCTGAGCCATCTCTCCAGCTCCTGCGCTGATTCTTTTAAACTAACCAACGTGAAAACATTGAGGTCAGACCAAATGGCGAAACAACACAGAACTCTTGTGTCAAACTTCTGGGTCGTGTCTGCTTGCTTGATCTGAATGACATAATGCATGCATTCTTTTACAAAGTCCAAGCTACCTTCTGAGTGTTCTACTTTGTCTGAGTGTTCTTCCTGTGGTATTGGTGGGGTCCTTAGATCTCAGATTCCATTTCCAACACTCATCATCTGGTTTATTTTGGACCCTGAGCTTTGCCATTCATTTCTGCTGGTCAGAACAGAAATGCGTCCAGTCAGCAAGAAGAGGCCTATTGTGGCAGCCT